TGGTGAAACCACAACTTCGACTAAAAATACAGAAATTAGCCACGTGTGGTGGTGCATTTGTGTAATCCAGTTACCTGGGAGTCTTAGGCAGGAGAATCACTTGAACCTGGGAGGCAGAGGCTGCAGTGAGCTGAGATCATGCCACGGGATTCCAGCCTGGGCAACACAGCAAGACAAGAGAGAGAGAGAGAGAAAGAGAGAGAGAGAGAAAGAGAGAAGGAAAAGAAGGAGGGAAGGAAGGAAGGGAGGAAGGGAGGAAGGGAGGGAGGGAAAGAAAGGGCAGTTGAGAAGCTGTAACACCTATTTACGATTTTTTAAAACTCAGAAAGATAGAAATAGAAGGGAAACTCTTGAACTTTTTTTCTTTTTGAGACAAAGTGTTGCACCGTCTCCCAGGCTGGAGTGTAGTGACGTGATCTCGGCTCACTGCAACCTTCGCCTCCTGGGTTCAAGCGATTCTCTCGCCTCAGCCTCCCAAGTATCTGGGACTATAGGTGCATGCCACCATGCCTGGCTAATTTTTGCATTTTTTTAGTAGAGACGGGGCTTTGCCATGTTGGTCAGGCTGGTCTTGAAATCCTGACATCAGGTGATCCAACTGCCTCAGCATCCCAAAGTGTTGAGATTACAGGCGTGAGCCACCGCACCCAGCCAGAACTCTTCAACTTGATAAAGAAAATCTACAAAAGAATTATGCTTAATGAAAGAATGAATACCTCCTCTCCCCAACACATAACACTGGGAACAGGCATAGTTGTCAAGCACTGAAGGAACATACATCTTACCACTGCCATTCAACACAGTGCTGGAAGTTCTCTACAGTACAGTAAGGCAAGAAAAGAAAATAAAAAGCATACAGGTAAGAAAGGAAAAGGTAAAATTGTCTCTATTTGCAGATGACCTAATTGCCTACATTGAAAATTCCAGGGAATCTACAAAACTGTCCTACAACTAAGTGAGTTCAGTAAAGTTGCAGGATACAATATTAACATAAAAATCAACTGTGTTTGTACATCCTAGCAGTGAATATATAGATACCAACATCAAAAATATAATACCATTTGCAATCACCTAAAACATAAAATAGGTGTAAATATAACAAAATATGCACTGTATTTGCATGCAGAAAACTACATTAACACTGACGAAAGATCAAAAAAGATCTAAATAAGTATTCACAACTCACCTGTCAGAGGACTAGTATCTACGACATATAAGGAACTCTCAAAACTCAACAGTAACAAAAGCAAACAATCTAATTAAAATATAGGGAAAGTCAGTTTGCCAAAGAACATATACAATGGCACATGAGCACATTGAAACCACAGTGCCGTATCACCATACACCTATCGAAATGGCTAAAATTTAAAAAATACTAACACCAAAGCCTGGTGAAGATGCAGAGAAACTGATTCACTCATACACTGATGGTGAGAATGTAAAATGATGTAGCTACTCTGGAAAACACTTAAGCTGTTTCTTAAATAGCTAAACATGCAACTACCATAGGATCCAGCAATTGCACTCCTGGGCATTTATCTCAGAGAAGTGAAGACTTATGTTCACAACCTGTATGTAAATGTTTACAGTAGTTTTATTCACAATAGCCAAAAAGCATAAATGATACAGATGTCTTTCAATAGGTAAATAGGCGGAGAAACTGTGGTATATTCATTTATAGTATATAAACTCAGCAGTGAAGAGGAACAAACTATTGATACCTGCAACAGCCTGGAGGAATCTCTAGAGAATTACGCTGAGTGAAAAAAGCCAATCCCAAAACATTCCAGACCGAATGGTTCCATTTATATAATATTCTTGATATAATAAAATTGTAGAATGTAGAACAGATTAGTGGTTGCCAGTGGTTAAGGAACGGGTGGGTACAGGAGGGAGGTAGATGTGGCTGTAATAAGGGCCACATGAGGGACCTTCGTGGTAAGGAAAATGTTCTGTATCTTCACTGCATCAATGTTAATATCACAATTGTGATACTGTACCATAGTTTTGCACGACTTTCATTTGGGAAAACTGAGTAAAGAGTACACAGGATATTTCTATATTATTTCTTTTTAAAAAATGTTATTAAAAATTGTGTTTAGGCTGGGCACAGTGGCTCACACCTGCAATCCCAGCACTTTGGGAGGCCGAGTTGGGCAGATCACTTGAGGTCAGGAGTTCAAGACCAGCCTGGCCAATATGGTGAAACCCCATTGCTACTAAAAATACAAAAATTAACCAGGCATGGTGGTGTACACCTGTAATCCTAGCTACTCAGGAGGCTGAGGCAGGAGAATAACTTGAATCCAGGAGGTGGAGGTTGCAGTGAGAGTGCAGTGATCATGCCACTGCACTATGGCCTGGGCAGCAGAGAGACTCTCTCAAAAAAGAAATTGTGTTTAAAAACACATAATACTTACCATCTTAACCATCTTTCACTGTACAGTCTAATTAACTGCATGCATATTGCTGTGCCACAGATCACTAGAGGTTTTTCCACTAACAAAACTGAAACTCTATTACCCACTGAAGGACAAGTCCTCATCTTCCCTCACCCAGCCCCTGTTTCTATGAGTTTGACTACTTTAATAGCTCAAATAAGTAGAATCATACAATATTTGTCATTTTGAGATTGGCTTATTTCACTTAGCATAAGTCCTACTAGGTTCATCCATGTTGTAGCATGTCACAAAATTTCCTAACGCTGAATAACATTCCATTGCATGTATATACAACACATTTTCTTTATCCATTCATCTATCAATGGACTTTTTTTTTTTTTGCAAATGTGAATAATGCTGCAGTGAACATGGGTGTGCAAATATATCTTCAAGATCCTGGAGTCAATTCTTCTGGATATATACTCAGAAATGGAATTGCTGGATCATATGGTAATTCCATTTTTAATTTTCTGTGGTACTTCTATCTGTTTTCCATAGTGGTTGCACCATTTTACATTCCCAAGAGTGCACAAGAATTCCAATTTCTCCACATCCTTACCAACACTTGTCATCTTTTTTATGATAGTGACCATCTTGAGGGGTGTAATATAATGCCTTACTGTAATTTTGATTTGCATTTCTCTAATGATTAGTGATGTTGAGCATCTTTTGATATGATTGTTGGCCATTTGTACATCTTCCTTGGAGAAATATCTATTCAAGTCCTTTGCCCATTTTTTAACCAGGCCATTTAGGGTTTTGTTTTTGTTTTGTTATTGAAATGTAAGACTTCCTTATGTTTTTTAGAAATTAAGCCCTTATAAGATATATTATTTGCAAATATTTTCTCCTATTCCTTAGGCTGCCTTTTCATTCTATTGAGTGCGTTCCTTGATGCACAAGTTTTTAAATTTGCTATAGTCCCATGTGTCTAGTTTTGTTTTTGTAGCCTCTGCTTTTGAGGTCATTTCCTTCTATATTCTACATTTTCTATATTATTTCTTACAACTGCATGTGAATCTACAATTATCTCAAAATAAAAAGTGTGTAGGTGGTATCATGTAGTAACTGTTCTTCTATGTCTGGCTTATTTCAATGAGCATAATGTTTTCTAGAATAGTACCTAAAGTAAACAATACTGTATTGTGCACTTAAAAGACCAGTAGGAGGATAGATCTTATCAGGGCAGGAGGAAACTTTTGGAGGTGACTGACAGGTTTATGGCATAGATTGAGGTGATGGTTTAATGGGTATATACTTATCTTCAAACTCATCAAGTTGTATACATTAAATATGTACAGCTTTTTATATTTCAATAACACAATAAAGTAGATCCAAAAAGTTTACTTAAAAAATAGAAAAATAATACCATTAACAGTTTAAGTGAAAATTACATAGTCTAATCTCTTCACTTAACAGTTGTAGAAATGGAAGTCATAAAGACATATTTAAGAAAAGGGATAAACAAATCTGAAAAATGCAGACTTTTTTTTTACTGGCAGTCTTATTAATATGAAAGATATAACCTATATCTTATGTTAATGGTAATCAACTCTTAGGGTACATTCCTCTTAGGTGATACTGAGAAGTAAAGTAGATAGGTTATATAAAATAACCATACTAATATATTTATGATGACTCATTCTTAAACTTCTTAACTCAACATTTCAAAGTATTGCAATTTCAGTATATTCATTGCATGTTGTATTTATAGCACTAAAAGTCTTACAGTTTTAATGATCACATGAAAACTTAGTAAAGATTTGACGCTTTTTGCAAAAATTAAGAAACTCCACAAAACATTACAATTAGAAGGATACTGTGCAGTATTACATTACTCTAAACAGATGTGGCTCTTCAACAAGGGGGAAAAAATATCCATACACATTTTCATTAGTATCTGAGTAAGAGCTTCTTGAGTTGTTCCTTTTAGAATCTTGCTATGGAAAACACAGTTCTACAACCACAGTCATTGCAGAATTTACTCTGGTACCTATTTCCCTAACTCGCTACTTGGCCTAAAACAGATACCTCAAGAGCATTTATCTTATGAGGAGAAACAAGTACAAGGCAGTACTCGCACCCCATAGTACCTCTGGTTTCGGTATTTTTTGGCCCAAACTAGTCTACAAAAAAGCCAAGTGCACTTCAAACTGGGGGTTGGGGACGGGGAGTGCATTGGAAGTTGCAACCTGAAGAACAGCGTAAGAACACGGCAGTGAACACGGCAGAGAAGGTCAAGTGTCTCTTCTGTTTGAAGTAAAAACAACAAAAGAAAACAAAACAGAAAACAATATGCAAATTCTATCCTTTCAAATCAGTTTTTTACTTTCATCTACATTTAAAATGCTTCATCCATTATTGATTTTTCATTTCTGTTGTCTTTTACAGATGATTCAATGGTACATGTTTCACTTACCTAAAAGAGGAAGTAAAACTGGGTAGTTATAAGGCATCACAAAGAGGTTTACACAAGTTAAAGTTGTACTGGCTTTTAAATAACCAAATGGATATCCAAGTTCATTGTACTTTCCACTGCTAGTAACAAATACCTACGAGGAACACGAAGTAATGCACAGTGATGAAAATAAGGATTTTATGTCAAACCAAACCCACAGTAACATTCCATAGCAGCATCTATGGCACAATTCGACTGTAGTTTAAAAATAGCAATAGTGGTTTTAGCCTATGGTTATGTCAAAATGTATTACAGTGGCCAGGCTTATGTACTAGGATTATAGGTGGCTCGTGGTTGTAACCCTAGCAGTTTGGGAGACTGAGGTGGAAGGATTGCTTGAGGTCAGGAGTTTGAGACCAGGCTGGGCAACACAGGGAGGCCTCATCTCTACAACATATTTTAAAACTTAGCCAAGTGTGGTGGCATGTGCCTATGGTCCCAGATCCTTGGAAGGCTGAGGCAGGAGGATGGCTTGAGCCCAGGAGGTCGAGGTTGCAGTGAGCCATGACTATGCCACTGCACTCTACCCTGGATGACAGAGCGAGACCCTGTCTCAAAAAGAAAATCATATTAAATAGGAGTGTTCAGATTGCAACTCTTCTATAAATTATATTAAGAAATGAAACTATACTATGCGACAACCATTCAGAGACCACAGGCCGCATCAACAATACCCAAATATTTACTTACTTAGCACAATGAAAAATAAAGCTGAAATACTGCTAAGAAGAAATCAGCCACTAAAACAAATAAACTTCTCAAAAGGACAAGTGGTAACCAGAGTGCAGACTGTGATGGAAACAGAACATGGTCCCATGCCTGAAGCATGAAATTACAGAAACAAATCCTACTTAAAGGATTATATAAACAGTCTTCATTGTACTCTTATTAAGTCCTCTCTCTGCCCCCCTCCCCTACCTCTTCATTCATTTTTCATTCAATAAATATTTACTGAGTTACCTATTACAGTAAACCAGGCATTGGTGCTAATTATTTTGAGGCAGCAAGGAGATACTTTGGGTCAATCTGGAAGGCATTTTCTCTTATAAGTTATGCCGATAGTGGCCAAGTGCAGTGGCTCACACCTGTAATCCTAGCACTTTGGGAGACCAAGGAGGGAGGATCACCTGAGGTCAGGAGTTTGAGACCAGCCTGACCAACATGGTGAAACCCTGTCTCTACTAAAAAATACAAAAATTAGCCGGGTGTGGTGGTGTGTCTTTAGTCCCAACTACTCGAGAGGCTGAGCACGACAATCACTTGAATCCGGGAGGTAGAGGTTGCAGTGAGCTGATATTGTGCCACTGCACTCCAGCCTGGGTGACCGAGCAGGACTCCGTCTCAAAAATAATAAATAAATAAATAAATATTAAAAAGTTATGCTGGTAAACATTCAATGAAAATTAAAACATTGATCTTGATTCCATACAACTATCTTCTTACTCCTTATTGATTACCTGATGTGATTCCTGTATCATCAACCCCCATACAGTTGATACGTTGTGCTTGAAAGTCCCCTAGCTGCCATGTTTCCTCTGTTCCATGTTCAGAGTCTTTGCTCCAAACTATCAATATATACCTTTAGAGACCTGGACCTTTACTTTTCAAAAGTCCTTTGGCAGGATCTTTTACAACAAAAGTCGAACCCTGACATTTAACAGAATCCATTTGCCTTGCTAGTTCTTGGTACCAGCAATATCACCTACCAATTCACTACCTTCTTATAATATTAAGTTATCACCAAGAATAAATTGATACAATTTATGTAACGTAATTTATGTAATTTACGACCCCATAGAACATGAGTTGTACTAAAACATGAGTCTACTAGATTTTGTGTCATAATTTGAACCATAATGGAAACAGATAACTGCAATAAAGCATGCTGGATTTTATTTCCTAAGTGTGTATATTAGAAAAGAGGAAAAATTCATCAAAGAAAGATTAAAAAAAGTCACATGCACAAGGCAGTCAAGGGTCAGATCTATGACTCCTATGAAAAGAAAAACAGTGTATTTTGTTTCTTTCTTTCTCTTTCCTACCTTCCTTGGCCCCTTGAGTTTTTCCTCATCAGCCAAAGATTCATAGATTTTTAGGGCTCTGAAGGATCTTTAGAGCTAGTTCAGAGAAAGTAAGTGCCTAGTGCAAGGCCACACATTTGGTGACAGAACTAGGGTTAGGCTCCAGTCTCCATTGTGGTTTTGCCAAATTTCCTGGCTCCTGGTTCATTTTATTCTTTTTCACTCCCACTAATTCATCACATTAAGAATACTCTGGCCGGGCGCGGTGGTTCGTGCCTGTAATCCCAGCACTTTGGGAGGCTGAGGCGGGTGGATCACGAAGTCAGGAGATCGAGACCATCCTGGTCAACATGGTGAAACCCCGTCTCTACTAATAATACAAAAAATTAGCTGGGCACGGTGGCACATGCCTGTAATCCCAGCTACTCGGGAGGCTGAGGCAGGAGAATTGCTTGAACCCAGGAGGCGGAGGCTGCGGTGAGCTGAGATCGCGGCATTGCACTCCAGCCTGGGTAACAAGAGCGAAACTCCGTCTCAAAAAAAAAAAAAAAAAGAATACTCTAAGCCAGGCACGGTGGCTCACACCTGTAATCCCAGCACTTTGGGAGGCTGAAGTGGGCAGATCACCTGAGGTTGAGACCAACCTGATCAACATGGAGAAACCCCTGGCTCTATTAAAAATACAAAAATTGGCAGGGCATAGTAGTGTATACCTATAATCTCAACTACTTGGGAGGCTGAGGCAGGAGAATTGCTTAAACCTAGGAGGTGGAGTTTGCAGTGAGCCAAGATCACTCCATTGCACTCCAGCCTAGGCAACAAGAGTGAGACTCTGTCTCAAAAAAAAAAAAAAAAAAGAATACTCTAAAACAAAGTAACATAAGGTACAGAAAAAAGGCATATGACATATTTAATGGGTTGCACAGGAAATAGGACAGCATTTCTTAAGTTTCTCTAAAGAAGGTTTCTAAGAAATGTACATAGCAAGAGGGGTTATTTGAGAGAAAAGCTATAATTTGTAATTGTATTCGTTTTCATTGTAAAAATGTTTTTCAACCTATAAATTCAAATGTCGTATCTTTATTTTAAATTAGCAATCTGTTCTCCATATCTCTACATTTCTAGGACTTTGTGGGCAAACTATAAGTATATAGCTCAATGAATGCTCACAAAGTCAATGTACATGTGTAAAAAGCACATGAGTCAAAAAACAGAACATGGCTGGGCACAGTGGTTTATGCCATAATCCCAGCACTCTGGGAAGCTGAAGTGAGAGGATTACTTGAGCCCAGGAGTTTGAGACCAGCCTGGGCAATACAGTGAGGCTCTGACTCTATAACACAATAAAAATAAAAAGCCAGGAATCATGGTATGTGCCTATAGTCTTAGCTCCTCTCGGGGGCTGAGGTGGAAGGATCCCTTTGCTTGAGCCAAGGAGGTCGAGGCTACAGTGAGCTGCGATTGCCTACTACACTCCAGCCTGGGCAACAGGTTGAACCCTCTCAAAAAAAAAAAAAAAAGAAAAAAGAAGAAATAAAGGAAGAAAGGAAGAAAAGAAAGAAACAGAACAAAACCAAACATCCCCTTGTATCCTCTTCTGTCCACCACCTTGCATCCCCCCAGGATAAACCACTATCCTGACTTCTAACAGAGTGAGTAAGTTAGTTTTACCTCTCTCTGAAAGTATATAATATGGAATTATACAATATATGATCTTTTCTGTCTAGCTTCTTTGCTCAGTATTATGTTTATGGGATTATTCTGTTTCTTGTGCTTTTACATTCTTGCTTTAAGCCTGCTCCTTTTTTCTAACTAGTTGTGACATCTTGGGAGAATTTAAGTAGCTTACAGATAACTTGTAGCAATAATCTCACATTTTAAGATAAAACAGATGGCAGTCTGAAAGTGTTCCTTGCATAAATACACCCTAACGGTTACTGATAGTCCCACATAGCAATAGAAATAGAACACACATCTTTACAGTGTAGGGCTCTTTTGTTGTATCCACATAAAAAGGCTGTGACTGCCATCTCTGAATTTTTACAAATTAAACTCCACAGGTGACTCTGTTAACCAGTCAGCAAGTCCTTCGGGCTTAAGGGTAACACTTGGAAGAACCAGTGTATGATATCTCTATGCATTTGTCTCATCTAAGTTGCAAAATAAACACTACACACATTAGTGTGATTTGTACTACAGGAGTTTTATTACATTACAGTAATACACAAATTAGTTTCAGGGTTTATGGTTTTCTGCCTAAACTATCCTGTACTTCCAATTTGTCAAGTTCAACGTAAGGGCTGAACAATTTGCTCCAGCTGCAGATGCCATACCTGAAGTGAATTCCATCCTTTATATTAGGGATTGTTACACTGGGTCCCATGGTTAAACTTCAAGGGGTCCTCCAAATACTCAAATATATAGGTTTCATCAGACTATTCCTTTAAATGGCAATATACAGTAGACTAATGATTCATATTAGTCTGAAATTATATGCCTGGCCCTGTTGTTTATTTGACAGCATTCATAAGAAACATTATTAACAGAGTCAGTCCAATTATTTTCAGATTAACCCTTGAAGCTTCTTAAAATAATTCCCAGATCCTAGAGTGGTTACAGATATTTGGCTAATAGGTAAGGATAAGTACCTGCCAGCAGGTATGGGGAGACTTTCGTTCCAAGATATACTGAGTTAAGGGTGAAGGTTCAAGTTCATATTTGTCAAAAGGAAGTTTGTCTATTACCATTGGCTCACAATCTACACAGGAGAACCTCACAACAGGATGAGATGTTCGTGGAGGCTAAAACAAAGCAGAAAAAAGTGGTTAGGTCTCAAAGCAAGCTTATATTCCTGACAATTCTGCAAGTCCTTTTATTTCTTGTTATACTATCACTGAGATACAGACTAGCATTTTGAGAAAGAGGATTACTGGATTTCTAAGAACCATCAATGGCTCCCATGGGAGAGGGGGATCAGATTCTTTACTATCTACTTGACATCAGGAAGAGGAAAGGTAAATTACAACAGCCATAACTAGAATTTCGGTGAATGAGAAAAACTGTTTTGAATATGTTTAAGACGTTATTATGATTCATAGGATGAACGTTGAATTTCAGATCTATTTTGTGACCTCCAAGAATTGCCTTCCCTTCATTCCTTTTTACCATGAGGTTACAGATAGTCCAGATACTGCTGAGGATGAAGAAATCCATACAACTTTCCAGTAAGGTAAGGAGAGGGCTAAAGCCACGAACAAGCAAGATGAAAGATAGTAGAGGCATAGAAAGGGCAAGACGGAGACTGATAATGAGCCAGTTATAACGCCAGGGCCCAGATGGAGTTTTGCAGCATTGCTAATACCAACGTGCTTGCCTTGAATAGCTGGAGCTGAGGACGCTTTGCACTGGGCTGCAAACGCCTGTGTACCTGGGGTACTGGAGCAGATTAATGGAGAAGCCATTTAATTAACAGGTTTAGCTTGTGTGATTGGAGAGCACCAGAGAGAGAAAGGGGAACAGCAAGGGCAATATGGAGAGAGAAGGACACAGGACAAATCCCAGAGACAAGGTAGGAAGTGGGTCAGCCTATTCTTGTTGAGAAATCCGTAAGGCTAATATGAATACGATAAAATATCTCTGCTTCCTTTATAAAAAAGAAAAACACATTCATTTGACTTTCTAATTTACAATTATAAGATGTCTGGGGGTTGAGAAAAATAGCTCTTAAATGAACTTTTAAAGATGGAAGAATGGTAACATGAGTTATATGTGAATTACTTGGAATGTCTTTTATTCTATTTTTTCCCCCAACTTCATTTTAATTAACTTTGTGAAAGGTTTCTGACTCCTTAGATTTGAACAGGTAAAAATGCAATAAAGACATAAATGAAGCTTTGTTGCTAGCAAAAATGAATAAATTTGTCATAAAGCCTGTACTCTGGAGTGTGGAAGGGCTGAGGCTTGACAGGTGTAACACCGTGAAGCTCTGAGGAGAGGAGTGGGACACTTCCCCTCACCCACAGCAGGGGCCGAAAGGGCTCTTCAGTCTTACATTCGGGTCTTTCATGCCTACTTCTGAAAAAAGTGCAGAAGCCTCAAAACAGTAATCCAGGAGAACATGCAGTTCACTGTTAGCAATTTCTAAAACTGAGACAGAATATAGCTGAACTGAACTAGGAAGATGTTAAATAGAAGTCATGATTTGTTTGTGTCCCCTCCCAAGCCCACGCAAGGGAGATTACTCAGGCCTTCTTACAATTTGCGGGAGGGGAGAAAAGAGAAAAGAGGGAGTGGGTTTCATATCATCTCCCTTATTAGACAATGCCCTCCATATAAAAAAAAAAAAGCCAGTTGATCTGGCACTAGGACCAACTATAATAGCAAAGCCTCTCATACCAAATGCAGTGACCAAAAAGACAAGCCCTTGCTTAGAGATCATTTTTTAAATATTGCTTAATTACCTACCATTAAAAGGTTTACTGCTACAAAAGTCCATTGATTACAAAAAGATGAAAAGTGGGAAGAAGTAGAATTTTGAATACTGTTTTTAATATGTTCCCAGAACCTATCCAAGGTGTAAACTATGCTCAACCTTCCTGAGGCTATGTATGAAAACCAAGGCCAGTACTTTTTAGACGTTGTGTTTGCCACATACATCAGGTCAGCTGCTCTGAAATGAAAACCTAGTCACAGGCTACGACAGCATCAAAAACAGCAACGTTTTAACATCCAAAAAGGGCAGCTCAAGTGGCAAAGGCAACTGAAGAATGACAAGTGTCAGAAAATAAAGGAAGTCCTCCCTTGCTTTTAGGCACAAAGCTAGACTTCCAGTAAGAGACAGAAAGCAAAGGAGGGAAGACTTACTTGCCTGTGGCATGGATTAAAGACCTATAAGCCATTTTTAAAGATTCACTGTAATCAGAAAATTGAAAATCCAGAATGATGTTTACCTTTTTGTTTTATGACACTTACTAGTGAAGGTAAATTCTGATCTGGCCAAAAAGATTCTGGAATTGGCCAATGTCCAACAGGAACACCAGTTTTAGAGTTAGGTCGTACATAAATGAGTTTATGACAACTATGCCATGGCTGAGCAGCAAATGAATTGCTTGGCCTAGATGAATCCATAAGTCCATCTAAAAGTTAAACAAAAGACAAACTAAGGCATGAATTTCTTTTTACAGCTGCTGATCTTCTTGTACAAATTTTCCAGCTGAAAGCAAAGTCCAAAATAAAACAAGAACAATGATTCATGAAAAATGGAAGAAGACAAAAAAAGTGACTCTACTAGGACTTCTAAATGTTCTCTCTGGAAACTTTTTTCATCTAATCTATCCCTTCTAACCCAACACCCCCCACCGTTCTTCACCTAATAAGAGAATATGTAGTTATGCAGAAAACTATTGTAAAACTAGTTCTAAATTTTCTGAGACTCAGACACGTAAACTACATACATCAAAACACTACAGTTATTTTTCAAGAATTCAATTACTAAATTAGGCAAATGAAATTGTTCACTCCCTGGTATAATTTTTACATTTCTGGAATCTGACAAAAATAGATCATAAATTCCATTTATATATTCTTTCTATTTCCAAATACATGAAAAAGTGTTCTTTACCAAACAATTAGACCCAATGACCACTAAGGCACAATAAAAACTAGCCAAATTCACTTAAAGATAGAAGAAATGCTGACAAATGTGTATATAGTAGAGGGGAGCACAAAGCAAACACATCAAGTTTATTGTGGGCAAATTCACTAAGGTTTCTCCATCCACCATCAAAATTCCATGGACACTGGGCATTGTATAATAGTGAATCATGTATCCTGAATGCATTTTTATGATTTAAACTAGCATATTTCATTTCCTCCCCCCCCAGCCCTGCCAAAATCAGGGCAAGGCAGAGTTATATAATCTTTCAATAATAATATTTGTAAAAGATATGTTTTAATGATTTGAGTCTCATTTTTCTTAAATTACCAGTCATTTGAATAACTTATTTAAGCATTACTTTAAACAAATAATTTCATTTTCTCTTTCTAATTTCTTAACATCCAAAAAGGGCAGCTCAAGCGGCAAAGGCAACTGAAGAATGACAAGTGTCAGAAAATAAAGGAAGTCTTCCCTTGGTTTTATTCCAGTAAGAGATAGAAGGCAAAGCTAGACATCCGGTAAGAGATAGAAGGCAAAGGAGGGAAGACTTAATTGCCCGTGGCATGGCTTAAAGGCTTCAAAGCTAAGACATTTAATGGGTCCACTGTGCACTAGGGAAGAAAATGTATAATGGCTTTCGAGGACCTCCCTGAAGTTGAGCTCACAATTCTTACAATGTGTATTTTTCAGAGGAAGGGGTTCATTCATCAGAACCTGAAAGGTTAAGAACTCTGGACAAAGGAGAACTGGAACTAGAAAAAAAATCTGAGCCATTTACATGACACCAAATCCCACTAGGATTTCTATATGTAAGTTCCCAATTTATGCTAAGGTAGTCAGCATGAAATTTTGGATTGCTAGCAGTGTAACATGCCCTTCCTACACAGTTAATTTACAATAGGCTGTGGGGCCTCAGTCTTTTATGGCAGGTGTTCTTAACTTGGAAGTCCAAAAAAACCCTGAGATTATATACAAAACTGTGGGTGTGTCACCTGTGCGTATATTTATAGGGAAAAGGGTCTATATTTTTTCCAACAGTTTCTCAAAAGGATGGGGAACTAAAGAGCAAAACAGTAACAACAACAACAAAAGATCAGGAGCCACAGGATCCACTGCTTCAGACAGAAATGTGTAGCTTTCTGCCCTTGCATTTGGCTTCTTTGTTCTTGGTGAAGGCAATTAAAACATATATCAGGCTAGACAAGCACTGTGGTAAGAATAATGAACTCTATACACACACACACACAAACACACACACACGCTTCCTAGGAGCTCTGTTTTTGCAATGCATTACCATGGTGCTTTGAAATCCATTTGCATTCAAGTAATCACAAACATCTATTCACAAACTATCTGGAGATTCACTATGATTTTACTTCCTCTATGCAAAAGTCAGTCTACTTTCATCAATTTTCGGATGTCGAACTTTCTGTGAAATCTCATTTGGAAAAAAGTTTGCTCAACCCTTAACTTCAAAGTGAAAAAGTGACCAGGAAAATACTAGTGTAGCATCTTAGAGAAGATGAGCAATTCCTGGATAAACATTCACAATCTCTTGCTGAGGTGCAGAAACTAACCAACACAGATTTCGTAAAGATGGCTTAGCATATTTGGCACTCAAAAAACCAAAACCAGGTTATTTCTTAAGTGCATACCATAGTGAATCTCCAGACATTTTGTGAATAGAGAGGTGAATGAGTCAGTGTCATCCAAAGACTGGGACCACGGAATATAAAATGCACCAGGAAAAGGAAACGTGTTTTTATTAACATTCAACATGAAATTAAAGTTGTTAGAATCTGGCCACCTGACACATATACATAAGAGTGAAGTATGATAGTTGTTTGGATGGATGCTTGTAACCACCCAAATGCATGTGGATAGTGAAGACTGTGTCTATACAATTTATTTAATATCTTCTCGTTCTCCTATATAACACTTTAGGGTTAAAAAAAGTTATCTACTATACCTTCTCCAATAGGAAGTGGATCTGGTCCCGTTTTTTCAAAATTAATAACTACACCACTCTGAACTTTTTGAACTAGAGATTCTAAACATTGATTCAACATTCTTTGTGTTCTCACACAGTAGGAGCGACCTATCCCACAAGGAAAAATAAATAGCATAAGTTTGATCAAATAAAATATGATTTCATAATACAAGCATTTTAAAATCCTAAAATATAACTTGAAATAATCATAATTACATTAGTAGCCAATATCATATCAACAATGACCTTAAGCAACAGTTAAAAGACTTTGAAGGAAAACAAGTAAAGGCTGGATACGGCATTTAATGAAAAATATACTCTGTGCTCTGAATTCTTCTCAGAAACATTAAATATTGCCAATACCTCCTGTGACTTCACACATCTGTGTGATGGCAGATTCATCAGTTGGTACACTCCCTAATTGCTCTGGTTCGGTAGAAGCCACTCCAGGCAAACGCAACACCAGTGCAAATAACCTTTGATCCCAACGAAAAGGTTCTTTGGTTAGTTCACTTCCAGGCAGAGGGGAATTCAAAGGAAGATGGAGCTGATAAGGGAAAAATGTGAAAAATGTTCATTATAATCATAACAACCCATGTAAAAATGAAAAATTAAAGGGTTCACTTTTCTTTCATACAACTCAAAAGAATTAAGAAATCTTTCAAGGATTACCAAGATGGGTAATTTGACCAAACTTATTCTTAACTGGAAATGCCTAACACAGAAATAGCTGCATGTTCCCCGCCATTTAAACAAAATTAAAAAAAAAATCTCACCTCTTCTTGAACACCAGCAGTACTTGTTAACTTGTTTCCATCTGTGATGGTAATTAAAATAGATGGTTCTAAAAAAAATGGATTTCTTCCCTAAAATACATTTAAAAAGCATTAGAGCCATGTAAAGTAATAAAAGTGTATTTAAACTTTTACATTTGCCTTGCCAATGATCTCTTTAAGTAAATGATAACATTTGTCTGGATAAATAAGGAGGAAATGATCAGGGAATGAAATGGGTGGGTATCAAAATAACAACCTCTGAAGAGGTAACATTCAGCATAACCCGAGGAATTCTTATAATTCAGGAACTCCCCAAACCATTAACTTTCAAATACCTCTCTCATTCTGCTTTCAAGTAATCATGAAATAATATTACAAGATTATACTGGCATTACCATCCACCCTCATGAATCCATTCACTTGAGTCAAAATCCTGGCACAAATAGGACACTAGGAACTTACATGCTGCAACCTGGAGAGTGACTTTGGTTACTGTGAGCACAGACTTTAGAGGAGGAAAGGACAATGCGAGCAACATCAAATGCTACTACTCTGCCTTCTTATCCTAGAGTTTTTTCATCAAAGTGGAAGGGGCAGAGGAGTTAAGGACATTAAAAGCTTCTTTTCAATTGTCTTGTTCCGATATTTCTCAGCAGTTTATTCGCACCATTCTCAAATATCTGATTAGCTCATGGTAGACAATTTTAGCTATTCTATTATCAAGCCATATATGAGAACCAAAAAAGAGGGATTTTTTAAAGTATATATTTAAAAGGTAATATGAATCTCATTGGGGAGGTTATGAAAAGTAGCAGAAAACTTAGTAACTATGCCCAATTTTAAATTCTTACTGCAAGCCATGGAAATAAATTAGCTGTACTCACTCAAATTTTTTTTACCTGTCCATAATTGTCTATTCCAGATATTAATCTATTGAGATTTAACAAATCAAATGAGGATCTTAGAGCCTGACCAAGAGTAGTCAGTCCAGAAGCCTGAAGATTTTTTAGTTCGCTCATGAATGTTGCATGATTTTCCTTCCAACCAACCTGCAAACCAAACATTTACAAAGAATTTCTTGATTACACAATGAACAATATATAAAATGCAAACAACCACTAAACAGAAAGTATCACAAGTCTAAGAAATTAACCGCTCCTTAACCTAATTTTATTCTATATCTTCACTGATCAGGTATAACTAAAGCAAGCAGTTTTGGAAAGACCTGCTAGGTTTAATAATCAAAAGCAAAGAACTAAAGCAAAAAATACTTCGTCCATTATGGCTGAAGGACTGTGGCTCAAGAGGTCCAGTTCTCTGTTCAGGCTCAACCAAACCTGCCAGCACACCTGTTACCCTAGCTTGATGACAGTGATGATGAGAGTAAGGGGCAGAGGAAGGAGTAGTTATTTTTTAAATGCATTGTCCTTGATAGAGACAAACAATTAGCTATATTGAGTGTCTGAGCTACATTAATTCTTCTAAACAAGATTCTTCCACCCAAGCAGTATTTTCATTTTTAAGCAATAGTAAAGGGGGAATAATAGGAAAAGAGCCACACTTATTTGGATATAACCCTTCTGGCATCTTTGAGTATTCAGAAAGCTCAAGATTTAGAATAAGGGGAGAAAGAAAAACAAAAAGTTTTGGCAAAGAAGCAGCATCCCCTAGCCACTCCCGGCAGCTATGAACAGCAGCAAAGAACCAAAGATCCAAGGTCAACAGCCAACATGCTGTGATTGATTGGTTTGTAGAATAGAAGGAAGGAAAGGATCATGCTGACTGGTCTGCAATGGCTATAAAAACAAAACAGCAAAAAATGCTGAGAAGAGAAGCTAAAAGAAGAAGGTGGCAGCTAACAGGAAGTCACAGGGGAATGGGCCAGCAAGGGAGAGAGCAGATAGCACAGCTTGGCCACAGAGTGGAACAGCCACTTGAGCCTCAGTGAGCCGGAGAGCAGCAGTGTGTATACTGAATGCTGAAGTTATGCCAAACAGGCCAGTACAGCTGGAGGTGGAAAGCAAGAGCAAATGATACTGAGATAAACCAAAACATTTGAATTTCACATTAAGCTGAAGGCATATAGTCCATCATCCATGCAACTACATCACTCTTTTCTGGTTTCATGGTCTTCCAAAGCAATTTGGATTGGTAGAATGACTGAGAGGCAAGAAAGGGGCAGGTTATTGCCTATGGACCCTGTTATGAAATATCTGTGTGACCTTGAGCAAAACCAGTTGGCTTGGAGGAAGATCTGATAAGCAGGGACACTGTGTAAGGCTGAGAATGATACCAACTTGCAAAGAGTCATTCATATCGTAGTAATCTGTCAGAATGGTGCCTCCTAGGGTTAAACAGAACACAACCTGCATAACCATACAAGGTCAAGGTGATCTTGGTTAAGATTCGCTCCAGGGGCCAGGCACGGTGGCTCACGCCTGTAATCTCAGCACTTCAGGAGGCCGAAGCGGGCAGATCACGAGATCAGGAGTTCTAGACCAGCCTGGCTGATATGGTAGAACCCCATCTCTACTAAAAATAAAAAATAAAAAAACAATAGCCAGGTGTGGTGGTGCATGCCTGTAGTCCTAGCTATTTAGGAGGCTGAGGCAGGAGAATCACTTGAACCCAGGAGGCAGAGGTTGCAGTGAGTCGAGATTGTACCACTGCGCTCTAGCCTGGGCAACAAGAGCAAGACTTCATCTCAAAAAAAAAAAAAAGCTTTCCAGGTGCTCCTTTGGCCAAATTGTATATATGACTTTTAGTACTGAGAATATAAGGGATGAAAATAACACTTTATGGCCCAAGGAAAATCTTATTGAATGAGACAAACTAAACTTTAGCGAAAAGGATGCATTATGATTTAAACTATCTTTTCAAATATCTGGAACTATATCAATAGTTAATTATAAATCACACTGAATTAGGAAATGAGATTTCTTCTTTGGGGTAGAAGAGACAGGTATACATTTGGGTGAAGGATAGGATCAATTCTTTCTTTTATTTTTAATTTTTTTTGGAGACTGAGTCTCACTCTATTGCCCAGGCTGGAGTGCCATGGTGTTATCTCCGCTCACTGCAACCTCCACCTCCCAGGTTCAAGCAATTCTCCTGCCTCAGCCTCCAGAGTAGCTGGAATTACAGGCGCATGCCACCACGCCTGGCTAATTTTTGTATTTTTAGTAGAGGTGGGGTTTCACCATGTTGGCCAGGCTGGTCTCAAACTCCTGACCTCAGGTGTTCTGCCCACCTCGGTCTCCCAAAGTGCTGGGATTACAGGTGTGAGCCACCATGACTGGCCCTTTCTTGTATTTATTCATCAAATTTTTCCTGACTATCTATGTTATACTTGGCAGAATGCTACATGCTGGGAAGATAGAGAGGAATTAGCTCTTGAGGGGTTCCTGTCACAAAGGAATAAGAGATGCACTTATGGAGACTGGAAGAACAAGTGACCAGAGAGTGAGGGAAGGCTTCTCACTGAAAATGGGACATTTGAGAAAGCCTGATGGGATGAAGCGAAGATCATGAGACTCACTGATGTGAGGGGTAGAGGGGACTGTCCAAGGGAAGAGAACAGATCTCATAAAAGGATAGGACTCACTGGAGAGCCACCAGTAATCTGAATATCATTGCTCTGGGCACATGGCAGGAGGTATGGCTGATTAAAGATAATTTGGGCTTTGGCTATAAAGTGCTTTGTACACCATGCTCAGCAGTTTGGATTTTATCTGCTGGCCCTGGAAAGAACTCAAGGTTTTAAATCCAGGGAGTGGTATGACCAGACCTGTATTTTAATAAGATCTCTGCTGGTAGTTGGAGAATAAATTGTGGGGTGGAGGAGAGGCCGAAGCTTGAGGCAGGGAAACTGGTTTGGAGACTGCTGAAAGAGCTTATGAGAAAAGTGGGGATGGAGAGGAGGTTACAGATTACAGAAGTATTTCAGAGGTAGAGTCCTAAGGATTTAGTAGCTAATTAGAGGGACAGGTAAGATTACAAAGGGTCATGTATTATGTTGAAGTTTTTGGCTTTGGCAAACTTGTAAATGGTGGGTGGGGATCCTTTACCCTGAAACCACTATAAAAGTTGATTCTTGTTTTTGGAGTTACTTCATTTAGCAATCTTATTTCCACACTGGAAACAATAGTTATATATTAAATTTGAACTCCTGAAGGTCCATGTGGTAGTTCGAGGTGTAATTAAAGAAAAATCAGTGGACTATTTGATTTGGTAAAGGGCTAGGATAAAATCTGGGTACCACTTCATGACTCATCATTATTTAAAATAATGTGTCCTGATTGTTAGTTGTGTTATTCATCAATCTGTCAGAATATTACTACTCTTCAAATTTTCCTTTAGAATATGGAATGAAAGCAATTTACAAATATTAATAGTTTACTTCTTTCTCTCTTTCCCTTTTTTTTGAGATGGAGTCTCACTCTGTAGCCCAAGTTGGAGTGCAGTGGCATGATCTCAGCCCACTGCAACCTCTGCCTTCCAGGCTCAAGCGATTCTTGTGCCTCAGCCTCCCAAGTAGCTGGGACTACAGGAGTGCGCCACCACGCCTGGCTAACTTTCTGTATTTTAGTAGATTCGGGTTTTCCCCATGTTGCCCAGGGTGGTCTCGAACTCCTGAGCTCAGATGATCCGCTTGCCTTGGTTTCCCAAAGTGCTGTGATTACAGGTCTGAGCCACCACACCTGGCCCAAATATTAATAGTTTCTACGTCTAAATCTCTGACATTCTGTTTTCAGGTTAATTGCTATTCTTTGCAATGAATTGGATGATATGGGAATTTTTAATGCCATTCCTACCTAGTACTACAAAGTATGTGGGCTACATTTACTATCAAAAGCAATGAACTCCTTGGTGAGGGTCCAGCTCCCTATATCAAGAGAAGAACCAAATGTCCCTATGTCCATTGCTCAACATGCTGAGGAAAATAAGGCCCACAGATTTATTGAAGTATTTAGAGCATCTTATTAATGTGACAAATTTCTTCCAAAAAGATAATTATAAAGAGATAACGAATATACCTTTATACTCTCCATTCATTGCTTAGAGTTAATTTTTTTTCACAAATGAAGTCAGGACAGCTAATTTGCCTCCTTAATGTGTTTCCTTATTTCAAATTTCTGTACTCCAAAGATATTCTATTCTTATGCTAGTAAAAAAACCTTTACTCCTGATAATAACTTCCATACATTCTTCCAGAACTTTACTGCTTACAAAGCATTTTCACACTTCACATTGGCTTAGGGCAACCCTATAAAATAGGGATGGCATCACCATCCCTATTTTAACAAACAAGGAAGAAGTGAAACATGGGTATGTCTTGTTTATGTGGTGGACAGTCACATTCTAAAGCTGCACTATCTGATACAGTAGCTTTTAGCTACACGTGGTTATGAGAACTTGAAATGTGACTAGTGTGGATGGAGATGTGATGTAAGTATAGAATACATTTGCCATTTCGAGGATGCACAACAAAAAAATGCCAAAAATCTCATTATTTTTATATTGATTACATGTTGAAATGATGTCTTGCATATTTTTGGTTACATAAAATATTTTAGTATAATTAGTTTTACCTGTTTTTCCTTTTTAATGTGGCTACTAGGAAATTTTAAATTATGTGTATGACTGACATTCTATTTCTATTGAACACTGATGTTCCTCAGAGACCTGAAGGTCAGGTATGAGAGGTTGGTCTTAAAGCAGCAGACAGTAGACACACTACAGAATCCAAGGCAGGGGGAAACAAGGAAATCAATCTGACAGTGACATACAGGACAGCTTGGAGGAAAGTGAAGCTGTAGTCAGAAGCTAGGAGGCTTGAGGCCAGGTACAATGGCTCACGCCTGTAATCCCAACACTTTGGGAGTACGAGGTTGGCAGACTACTTGAGCTCAGGAGTTCGAGACCAGCCTGGGCAACATGGCAAGAACCCATCTCTATCAAAAATGCACACACACAAAAAAATTGCTGGACATGGTGGTGCACACATGTGGTCCCAGCTACTCAGAAGGCTGAGGCAGGATGGTGACAG